GTAATCAAAGTGACAATATCCAATCAGAGCGGAGCTGCGGAAGAGCTTTCATATCTAACAAAATTCAAAGCAGCCTCTTAGTGTGCGATTAGAAGAGGTTTCCAACCCGAGATTCGAACAAAATCAGATACCTGGAAGGCCCTTTCTTTGAGGGCTTGGATGGTGATCGCAGGAAGGTTTAGTGAAAATGAAGCGTCAGCAATGTAGCAGCCATTTTGCCGGGAAAACCCGACAATGGTAGCAAGTGCGAGGTACGGGTGTAGGCCACTGTTGCAGCGAAAGATGTGATGATGTTTCGTACGATATTTGTTTCTTTCCACAACCTCTTTCCGAATAGATATGAGTGTGTTTCCGCAACTCCACTTCGATTAAATAGGGTACCCCCCCCCGCCCCGAGTTTCAATTTCACCGTCAGCATCTAAAGCATCTCTACAATGAAGAATTTACCAAAACGTGGCAGCACACGGGTGCGTCTAAGGGGATTGAAAGCCCAAAGGACCCTATTACGACATTGTCATATTTGGTTTTTTATTCGAACATTTTGTCGGCCATGCCCCTTATACGTAGTGAGCTAAATGAAGGAACAACCAACAATGCTTTTCTTATGGGAAGCGTTTTCCTTGCGCGCTACCGTATTCCAACGATCTTGCACATGCAAAGCTGAAATTGCTTTTTCAGTGTGCTTCCTGTGGCAAAGTCTTCGTGAATCAAGAATTTCTGGCGAGCCATTTGAAGAGACGGCACAACGACGAAAAAACGGAGACGATGAAATGATCTAACCATATTTCCCTGGTATTGTTGATTTTGGCTCAACTACTGTCATATACGGTTTTCCATTCAGTACTGTGTGCAAGACGCAAAAATTAACTTTATGACGTTGGTCCTCTAATTGTAGTTTTTCATGTTTTTCTTGTAAGTGGTGCATTTTGCTAGCTACTATTTTGCTTAATTTAAATTATCTGCTGTTTCCAGATATAAAGGAATATTCTCAAAAATGTGCATCCCTTTTTACATTTCAGAGCAATATGTGTTAAATATTCCCAACAGAGTCCTTATCTTCAATAATAATGGTGTGGAAATGATGCGCTAGCCTTGTCAAGAACATAAGAACTGTCGCTGAACGGAAAACTCACCTTGGAAAGCCGCTAGAAGAGGACGCGAACGCTTTCGAAGTGGGCGTTACCGACAATTTTCGGTAACGCCCACTTGCCAGCCGTGGAGATCGCGTGCTTGGCTGCGGGTCCTTGCGCGTTGCGTGTGAACTGTTTCGTGTTTCGAAATTGATGCTGCCTCTTTTTGATTGCAAGTAAATCTGGTTAGAAGTTGTTCATAGTGATAGCTGATTTCTGGTAAATGATAGTTGTAATTAGTGACAATCGATAGAATACAACTGCAACAGGCTAATCATTTCATTGGCAGAAAACATTAACATTTTGTGAAGGCCGTCGTCACTTGTGGTGCATGGTCTGCACCCGACACTTTCTCGCTTTTTGAAGGGGAGGGTATGTGTGTTTTCATTGATCATGCCGATTGCAGCACCATTTCTTGCTAGGATGAGATGCCGCAATGCCGGCGGAGCAAGCTAGTTCGGACAGCTCGTGGCCGCCCCTTCCTTCAATATAACAGAACAGAGGGAGTCCTTATGTAGGAGCTTCATTGCCGGTTTTCTCTACTTTTTTTCATTTGCGGTCAACGCTACATTCACACTTTAATTATCGACCGTTTTTACCCCGCAAACTCGATCTGGAATTGTTGCTTTTGAGGACGAATTCACGATAAGAAGGGACTCAAAGAAGGGGATAAAATTGCACAGTTAGGAGACAGGCGGACCTCCTGAAGGTGCTAATCGACACGTAATTGGAAGCGAAAGATTTGAACTTGGTGTTCTAGCATGGCTCACTCTTGGCACTGTTGGTGGCGTACGCCCACCGACTACCTAATCACTCGGCGCAAGTCTATACGTGGCGAGTGTCTAAGACGTAAGCAAACCAGCCCTTTTGGCGCTTCGGCTGGGACCGTATGCTGAATGTTGGGGAGGGGATGGAGTCCCCGACGGTGGACGGACCACTTCAACTCGGTCCTTAGAACCGCCACAATTTGGTGCTCACCTCAGAACTAAGCCTTAAAGAGAGGACGGGTCCGTCCCCTCTCCAAGGCTTAGTCCTGGGGTGAGCAAACCAGCCCTTCTGGCGGAGCTGCTGGACCAGCTGCACCACTTGCGTCAGTACTCTCCTATCGTACCAACCGAGTTGAAGTAAACCGTCGACCGTTGGGGACCCCATCCCCTCCCCAACATTCAGCATACGGTCCCAGCCGAAACGCCAAAAGGGCTGGTTTGCTTACGTCGTGTCTAGATAGCAGAGAGAGAGCGTAGTGTTGAAGAGGGCACAGCGATGAGAGTCGCATCAATGCGCAAATCAACGGGCAAGGAAGGGCCCCATTTCTCGGGTTTCGGGCCGTTTCAAATGGTTTCTTCTTCATCCCTGCTCCACTGACCACCTCTACCCTTATTTCCAATGAGCTAACTTTTCATCGTAAATTCTGCCTTTAATTGTGGGCAGGCGTCCATGTAAACATCGAACCGGAAAATAATTGCTTGCTGCTGCCTGTGATACGGAACTCATCAATAACTCAATCTTTGAAAAAGTCGTAGTCTAAGAGGTAATGGTCCTACGTAGTGGCGATGGTGTCGACCCTTCCGCTGTTGCTCGTTCAATTCGTGGACAATCTCTGTTTGCTTTTTTGACCTCCCAATACCCAACTCCATATCTAGGCATCGTACTATATAGTTTTCGTACACATTCCATACTATTTGAACTTTATTCCCTCTGTATTTCCTTCCATTTGATCCTGTAGTCCAGAGTAGTGACCAGCAGCATAAGGTTCGCGACCTCCCATCTTAAGATCGAATTTGCCGCGGCGTAACTTTTGCAGTCTGCAGTGAAGCGGTCTTCCGGTAGGCCTCTCCTCTCTTCCGTTCAGAACTGTTCTGCTTCATTTCGACCAAGCCAGTGAAGAGTAGTTTTCCCTACTATGACTCTGAGTCAAAAGTTCTGCCAACAGTTTGAAGAATGCTCGATTCAGCTATATTTTCAGACAGCGCGTAAAATTAACTTTCCAAATATGTATTGATATTAAAGCAGAAAGGACCGAGATAAGCTTATGATCTAAACTGTTTTCACTTAGTCTCATATTTACGAATAGGTGCTTGCAGCGATCGCTTAGAAGCTTGTGTGGGGATGGTGAGAGCCTCAAAGGTGGTGAGGTGAGTCAGTGGATATCAAATGTTGTTAAAAACATTGTAGCTGGAAAAGTTGGTAAAATCGAATGTGCTCGGAACTGTTCAGAAGGCGGCTACAGAATTAGGCGTGACTGGTGTTTGGTTTCAAGGCACGTGCAGTAGGTTGAAAAGCACGGAAAAATCAACAATCTGTTCTCCACATGACAACTCTACCTTATTTCATCCAATGAGAACGACACTTTTTTCGTTCGGACTGTAACGTGCAATAAAGATTCCTCGCAACAGCATATGAACCTTGGCCAAGTAGTTTGATCACGGCTGGGGCAAATAAAACCGCTGCGGTGAACCAGCATGACGAG